AGCTAGCAAAAATTTAATGCAACTTGCTAGGCACGTTGGACATCTTACTACTTCCTATACCACACCATGGCTGGAGTGCAATGTGTTCCAGCCAAAATAGTACACATCTTTATCAAATCTGGTGCATCCTGCTAGTTCGGTACACAGCCTGTGTAGATTCAGTAATATTTTTAATTCAAATAATGTATGATTTCCTTCCTTTTGAATCAAGGGGCTGACTTTGAATCAAGTCAGCATATATAAAAATTTTTTTTTTGGGGGGGGTAAAAGGTAAAAAAGTTCCCTGACCTCTGGCCTAAAGCTGTACAGTCACTGACCCCTCAGGAAGCAGTACTGATATTCTGCAATCTTGAGGGTAAAAAAGTTCCCTGACCCCTGGCCTAAAGCTGTACAGTCATTGACCCCTCAGGAAGCAGTACTGATAAAGTATTCTGCAATCTTGAGGGCAAATCAGTTTGTGTAGCAGATCACCCATACTCCCACTCCACGCAGGTTGAGGGACTGTGTTGCTTCAATATGTAGGCAAAGGGGACTTGAAGTCAGGATGACCCTCCTACCCAGTCCTCTATCAGTAGATCCCACTGGCTTTTGTATAACAGCATTCCAACACAAGGAAATTCTAGATTTCACCAATGTTGTGTCACAATGTCCCCCCTCCCTGTTCTCCTTTATGGGAGAAAACCTTTTGCCTCTCCTAGTGCTTTGTGGCTTAGAAGCAGCCAGGATTGGCACCTTATCTTTCTTTGCTCGGGACATTGCCAGAAGTGGGTCTCCTGATGCTTGTGAGTGGTCTATGTAAAGTGCCTTTGAAGTTATTTGTTAGTCTTCCCAGATTTTGTCCAGAGCTTTATGTAAACATGCTTTTAAATATTACAATGCCTCTTAGTGTGAACCATTCACTGAACTGAGTGATGCACATGTAAAGCTGATATTTAATATTAACAGACCCAATGGTACATAACACATTTATCTATAATGCTAAAGTGTAAATGAGTTGAAACTGAATTAATAATACAATGTTGTAAAATTAATTATGATATTTATCTGAATTGCTTTGCTAGCAAAAATATCGTGCACCATGCAGTATACAAATACAGTGGTGCCTCGCTTGACGACGTTAATTCGTTCCAGTGAAATCGCTGTAGAGCAAAAACGTCGTCAAGCGAAATAAAAAAGCCCATTGAAGTGCACTGAAAACCGTTCAGTGCATTCCAATGGGCTGAATACCTGCTCGTCCAGCAAAGATCCTCCATAGGGGCGGCCATTTTCGGTGCCTGTAGTGCGAAAAATGCCTCCTAAAAACAGCGGGGAGGCATTTTGAGCACTCAGCGACCATTTTGAAACCCCAACGATCAGCTGTTTTGATCGTCGTAATGCGAAGAATCGGTTCCCGAAGCAGGGAACCGATCGTCACAAAGCGAAAAAACCCATTAAAACATTGTTTTGCGGTCGCAAATCGTGAGGTAGATTCATCATTATACGGGGTAATCGTTAAGCGGGGCACAACTGTACATTTTTAACAATGGAAGATCCATCAGGAAGCACACACACTCATTTGGCAATGGGCCAGAGTACTAGATTCCACCACTCTCTCTCGCCAGTGGTGCCCTGCCATATCAAACAGATGGAAAGGAGGATCAGAGAATCTATTTCCTTTTATAACCAATTTAGCTTCCCAAGCAGGCAACCCTACAACAGAACCTTCTCTATTTCTGTGCGCATACACACACACACAACCTGTATTGAGCTCTCCAGTCTTCTTACCATGTCTCTTTCCTCATTGTGTTCATCCTTGACAATGAAGATCATGTCGAAACGGGATAGGATGGTGGGCATGAAGTCAATATTCTCCTCGCCTTTAGTTTCGTCCCAGCGTCCAAAGACAGAGTTAGCAGCCGCCAACACAGAGCAGCGTGAGTTTAGGGTGGTTGTGATACCAGCCTGCATGAGTGCATGGAGGTAAACAAGAATCACACATTAGTATGAGTGGACCTGTAAAGTCCATAAGCAAGTTCTTTTCTAAACTCTTGGATAGAGATGGCATTCACATATGGTAACAGGACAGCTAAAGTCACTTTGTGAACCCAGCAGTTCTCTCTATATCCCAGTAACGAGAAATGATAACCACTACATCAGGTATTTACTCTTTATTTTAAGTTCAATGCTACTAATTAGTTATGTTCATTTTGCAATGAACTCCAGACACACTAGAAAGCTGTTCCTCCCCACTTTGTCCCCAGAACAAGCTGGAGAAACCAACTGTCCCAGAATCACCCAAGAGGGTTCCATGTCTAAATGAAGGGTTGAACCTCAGTCTTCCAATTCCCACTCCAGAAATCTAACCATTAAACCATAATTGATCTTTTGAACCATATAAGAAATGTTCAGCCAAAGAACGAGGTCTACACATTGAAGATGCTTGAGGCAGGTGAGTGGCAAGTGTTGGCCAGGGACAGGTAGGGCCTCCCAAGCTCACCTTGGCAATGGAGATGGTCTGCTGCTCCATAGCTTCATGGATGGCCACCCTGTCATCCTCACGCATCTTTCAGAAGGACAGAAAGAAAGAACAGAATCCATAAAATTATAGAGCTGACGCTATTACCTGGTGATGCAAAGGGAAGATAAAAAGAGCGAGAGTAGTCTGCTATACTGTTTGCTGCTCGAGCCAGAGATTGGGAGTTCAGTTGCCCACTGTGCCTCATTGACAGGGGCCCAACTTCATTATCCATAGGGTCCCTCCTGGCTTTGCACTTCTAAGACGATGATGGATGCCAGATGATGAACCACCCTAGGCTCCTGCTGAAAGAACTGCAGCATTTCTGTGCCACAAGAATTGAACTAAAAGGAAAATACTTTTGCCCGATTTTACCCAATTCACAACTTCTGCAAGACTTACACAAAGTAAACACATCCAAGCATGCTCAAGTAGAACACTGCTCTGAATCACTGACCAGACTAGTGAATCACTAGCAGACTGATGTTCAAATAAAAGCACCAGTACAACCAACGTGACAATCCTCTCCTAACCTTCTTCTGCCCTGATTTTTTTTTTGTCCACAAAGCCTAATGAGAGACGCTTCACCATCCTTGTTTTTCAGCATCATTTTATACTTTTAAATTTCATAATCATGTCAAATGATGATTTCATATGATGACTAAGTAATGAGTGGAACATGTTAGGTCCTTAAAGCCATGATAATAAGTTTGAGACAAAGTTAATTATTGCATGTATTTAATTTTTCCTCAAAATTTCCTCTTCCCCTGAGGAGACACCACCCCCATAAACACTAGTTCTCTCCCACCTCCCGCCCCCAGATAAACACAACTAGGTAGAACCACAGCTTTTGCCAGTCCCTCCCTCCCTCCCCCTGTACCTTGTCAAACTCATCAATGCAAACCACACCACCATCAGCCAACACCATTGCTCCTCCTTCCATAAAGAAACTCCGGGAAGATGGGTCCCTGATCACGGAGGCTGTCAGGCCAGCTGCACTGCTGCCTTTCCCTGAGGTGTACACCTGGGAGAAGAATGGAAGGAGAACTGTTAATATCACACACAAGAGCTGATGTTCAATATAGAAGTCCAACCAGGGAACTCGTGCAGCTGGTTAATGCCTGGCCGGCTTCTTAGCTACAGGACAATATGGTAGCTTAAATCACAGACAGAAGCCAATGTGAGAATACAAACAAGGATTCTTGCATTGGAGCAAGAGAACAAATGAAATACATGCTTAAGCTAATTGTATGAGTGGTTGAACAACTCCAGATCATAACCTGACCAACTTCTCTTCAAAAAGGTTTTTCAAGGACAAACTGAGTTGTGCGAGATATTTTAATAGATAACAAAAAGATTCAGTTTCACAACCCTGCAGATTTAGTGGTCATGGGAATCCACTCAAAATAAAGGTAAGCAGGAAAATGAGTTTAGCATATAGCGAAGTGTCCATTCTAAGTCAAGCCCAGTTGCTAACACACACTATTTAAGAGCAACAAAATGTGGGGGTGTAAGAAATATGAATTGTGAGTGGTGAATAGTATTTACCACCATCAATAGCAATGGGATGCTGGAATTCAAACTGAAATCTATTGCTTCAGTAGTCCTTATTTAGTCTTACTTATTGCATAGTAGAAGTTAGCTGCAAAAAATTGGACCACTGACTTTGCTTTTGACATGGAAGACGTTTGCCATGGGCTTAGTGTGTGGTGGTTGCTGAAATAATGGCCCATTGTGCCCCATCTGACGAGCAAATGCTCTAGTGACGACTACAGAAGTCATTGTGGCAGAGAAGGAAGAGCTTGCTCGCTTAGACTTACTTTGTTGGACTGATTCTCAGCTACAACCACCTTCTACTATAATCAATGTGACATGCACGCTAAGCCTATTAGGCCACGTTGCTTGAATAACGCAATTGGACACAGTACTGCTGCTCCATAAAGATGATTTTCACCATTTCACATGTACAAATTGCATTCTGCTTGTACAGAAACAGAGCTGAAAACAGCGTAAGCAACAAGATAAGGGGCTATGCAAGAAGCACCTTTGAGAAACACATCAAGGAAGGCTGAACAATGTTAGTGGCTTCTTTTCTTGCCGGTCACAAGCAGAGATGCCTGAGTGGAAGGGATAACTCTTTACTTGCGAGGCTGATATCAACTTTAACAGAGTTCTTAAGAGAATTTGCAATGTCCCATGTCTCTGCTGACATGCACTTCATCAGTCCTGACCTTTTTCCCAAGCTCTGAAAAAACCTATACACATTCACAGCTGTTTTTCTTGTACAACAAACCCTGATGCTGATACACAAGTTGGGGTCCAATCAAATACGGTGCTATGACTGGCGGGTCAAATGAGAACTGGGAAGAACCAGATTCAAGTTGCTGCCCCACTAGACCAGTCACCATCTCCCAGACTACAGTATTTACAATGAAAATGAAGAGGATAATGACGACGACAGATCATTCTACTTTTATTTTTTCTCCAGTGAACACAAGGAAACATACATGTGTCTCTTCCTCTTCCCATTTTATCCTCTCCACAACCCTGTGAGGTAGGTTATACTGAAAAAAACACCATTGGCTAAGGGACACTGGGTGAGTTTTATGGCTAAGTGGGGATTTGAATCCAAGTGTCCTAGTACAACACTCGTTTAATGGCTAAGTGGGGGTTTGAATCCAAGTGTCCTAGTACAACACTCGTTTAACGACTGTAGCACTCTGCCTCTACCTTACAAGGCTGTTGAGGATGAGGGAACAGGTATGTGTTGCCTTAAACTCATTAGAAAGTCAAAATAAAAATACAGTGATGCCTTGCTTAACGATTGCCTCATTTAGCGATGTTTTCGCTTAACGATGGGGTTTTTTAAAAAGAATTCTATGCATCGTTTAACGATGTTTCCTATGGGCGATTTTCGCTTAGCGATTTTGGGACCATGTTTCGCATAGCGAATGCATTTTTAGGTCCCCTGTTTTGCTTAACGATGTCCATTTTTTCAATTTTAAAAGTGTCTTAAAATGTTCAAAAATGTTTTAAATGCTTGGGTTCGTTAGAGGACCTTCTAAATCGTGCGCAAACTTAATTTGGATTTGATCTGACTTTTCGTTAATTTTTGGAGATTTTTTTTTCTCCCCCATAGGAAACAATGGAGCTGTCAAATTTTGACAGCTGTCAAAATTTGACAGCTCCATTGTTTCCTATGGGGGAGAAAAAAATTCACAAGAAATTAACGAAAAGTCAGCAACTGTTTTAAATGCTTGGGTTCGTTAGAGGACCGTCTAAATCATGTGCAAACTTAGTTTGGCTTTGTTCTGAGTCTTCGTTACTTTTTTGTGAATTTGTTCTCCCCCATAGGAAACAATGGAGCCCAACTTTTGACAGCTGTCAAAATTTGACAGCTCCATTGTTTCCTATGGGGGAGAAAAAAATTCACAAGAAATTAACGAAAAGTCAGATCAAATCCAAATTAAGTTTGCACCTGTTTTAGAAGGCGCACTAACGATTCCAAGCATTTAAAAGTTTTTGAACCTTTTAAGATACACTTAAATTTGCAAAGATGGACATCGCAAAACCATTGAAATGCATTGAATAGGCTTCAATGCATTCCAATAGAGGAAACATTGTATCGCTTAACGATGTTTCCTATGGGTTTTTTCGCTTAAGGACGGCAATCCGTGCCTATTGGCACGGATTAACCGGTTTTCAATGCATCTCTATGGGAAAACGTGTTTAGCTTAACGATGTTTTCCCATAGCGATGTTTTTTTTAGAACCAATTAACTTTGTTAAGCGAGGCACCACTGTACAATGTTGAAAGCTGTCCCTGCCCCCTCAGGAAACCTCGTTCTGGAAGGCTATGTATCATACAAGGTGGAAACTTCATCAGTCAATCATCCTTAAAGGCTCCAGTATATGAAACCAACCTAATTGGCAGTAGATGTTATCCTAACTGAAATCAGAAATCATGCATATTTAGGTTTTTAGCTTTCAACCTATACCTCCAATGAGATTGTGACTTGTATGCTTGTGGACTGAGGTTTATGACATACTGCAAGGCAATTCTCATGTGGTGGAATAAAAACCAATTAGCTTGGGAAATCCTCAAGTAAAAACATGCAACCATCATCCAAGAACACTTACCCCAATGGGTGAACATCGTTCTACAAACTTCAGGAGTTGGGATTTGGCTGTGCCGGGATCTCCCAACATGAGTAAATTGATATCCCCTCTGCGGGTCAACCCATCAGGAAGCCTACAAAACAAGTCAGAGAGAGGAGAGAGCATGAACCATATGATCAGACAAGCCCCCTTGACAGCACTCCCACAAGGATAATCAAGATGTCTAGGAAACAGATGTGGTGGCATAACAGAGGTCTGAATACAGGAAGGTTGGTCATCTAGATTGTTAACGTTTCATATACCCTGGGGCTATATTTGTGCCCCAGGGGGATTTGCATGTTATCCACCTCTACTCTAAAATGTTATGGCACCATGTTATGGAACCTTCCCTTTCAATCTTCATTGTTGAAGCTAATGAGTTTCTTTAAGATGTGGAGCTACCCTGGCCTTGAACTGCCTTTAATATGCTCTTGGGGAAGGGATCCTACTTGATCCAACCAGACACCACCACCCTCATCAAAGCAAAGCAAAAAGGCTGGCCGCCCTCCTGTAAAATGGGATTCCACTCCTCCTAATTGTATCCCCTTCTTCTATACTCCTCCTTTTGTGACAACTCCCGATACCTCTTCCGAGAGCCTCCGAAGAGCATGCATGCTATTGCCTTCTTGATATCAGTGCTGCCGTAGATGGAGGGAGCAATGCTCTTTGCAATCGTCTCATAAATATTTGGCATGGAAGCAAGACGCCGAAATTCCTCTTCTTCCTGAGGTGTCACAGAGCCACTGACACTGCGCCCTAAAATGTGGGAGAGACATGAAACATTCTGAACTACCAGGACCCTTGAGCGTGATGCTTGCTTTTAAGTACTTTGAGTCTTTGTTATATCACCTGATGTGCAGACGTGGTAGCATCTCATCCGCTGCACCTAGCCAGAAGTTACTTTGAGTCTTTGTTATATCACCTGATGCACAGACCTCTCATCTGCTGCACCTAGCCAGAAGCGTGCTCAGATGTACGTATGCGTGCTCAGACTCTCCATTAAAAGAGTTCAGGCAATGAGCAAGGAATTCCCCAGGGTCAATTTGAGGCTCACTGCTTTCCAGCCATACTAACAAATGCTGCCCTTCAAAGGCAAAGCATCCTCAGAAGCAGTTGTACTGTAATTCCCATTTGCCCCAGCCAGCACAGCCAATAGTGATGGGAATTGCCATCCAGCAACATATGGAGAACTCCACCTCTCTTACCCATTGTATTCAATGACTAGCCGGAACAGGAATGCAAACACATACCACACTGTTGATGGCCCCAAATGGGGAGACAGGACTTTCCAAGAACAGATTTACCTGAGCCTTCCGTGTCTACTTGGATTCCCACTATACGGATGTAAGAGCTTCGAATGCCCACGCCAACGTGGTCTCGGCCTTTGTTCTTCGTAAGACCACTCTTCTTAATGGAATAGATGCCCATGATGGTAACTCTGTTTCCGGGGACAACCTTGTCGCATAAATATCTGGGAAATGGTCAGCAAAAGTGTATTTAATCATTTAAAATATTTTTATCCCACCTTTCTCCTTAAAAGGACCCAAACAAGGGAGACAGGAGGGAAGGAAAAAATCAGTTAACCTAAGAAATCTTTTTGTCTCCTCCTGAATAACAGTTATAATAGCCAAAATCCTGTTGGTTATTTGCACCAGTATTAGTGCAATAGCAAACTTACACTAGTTAACATATCACCACTTGTATCTCCCGTCATGTGCCAGTCATGTGACTTAGGTAGGCAACCAGGAATAAAACTGAGGACTTATTAACAAGCAGCAATGCATTGGTGCACTTTATGACTCTACACTTATATTGGAATAAACAGCGTACAACAGTAGTTCCCAACTTTGGATAATCCAAGTGCTCTTGGACTGCAACTCCCAGAAACCCCAGCTGCTGATGAAGGCTTCTGGGAATTATAGCCTGAGAACATCTGGGTTACCCAAGATAGGAACCACTGGCCTACAGGATTCTAGCTGATACGCTAGCCTAAGGCACTGCAAAACAGCGACACGGAAGAAGAATCAAATATTTAGAATTAAGTTGAAAAAAAACATGATGAAATTATTTCATCACAATACTGTTTTCCCATGGTGGGTGAGATGACCCAACGTGTATTAGCAAAAAGAAAAAAAAAGGTGGTCTTTTGCTTCTATCTAAATCTACCACAAAGGAATTAGGAATGTATGGCTGTCCAGCTGTTGTTGGACTCCAGCTCCCATAATTCCTGATCACTGGTCATGCTGGCTGGGCCTGGGGGGAATTAAGAGTCCAAAAGCGTGTGCAGAACCACACACTCCCATCCCTGACATAATTATAGAAAATAGAATTGTTCCTATTCTCCAGGCAGACCCTCGTCCCTACAGGTACCACTCCCTGAATCATATTATGTATGACTGAACAGCACAAAGCCTGAGTTTTTGCAAGATAAACAAAGCAACTACATAGGAGATCCCCCGAGACTCTTCAAGTTTAACCTCTTGCTGAAGCAGAAAATCCAGCTAAAGCATCCCTGACAATTGGCCATCTCATATCAGTTTAAAAACCAGTACAGGAGAGTCTGCCACTCTCTAAGGCAGTGGTTCCCAACTTTGGGTAGCCCATGTGTTCTTGGACTAAAACTCCCAGAAGCCTTCACCATAAGTTGTGCTGGTCAGGATTTCTGGGAACTGTAGTCCAAGAACATCTGGGGACTCAGGGTTGGGAACCACTGCTCTAAGGCCATCAGTTCCACTGTAAAACAGTTGTTACAGCCAAGAAGTTATTCCAGGTCCTCCCCTCTGGAGCTACAGAAAACAAGCCTGCTCCGTTTTCCACATATCCCATCTTAAACAATTCAGGTGTTCTATATAGTGTATGGTAACGGCAGGCTCATCATCCAAAACTTGGAGAACTGTTGTTACATGCTGTTAAATCAGAACTGACGTATGGTGACCTTCACAGAGCTTTCAAGGTGAGATATTCAAGGTGTGGTTTTTGCCAGTTCCATATCCCCAGCGAGTTTCCATGGCTGAGCAGATATTTGAACCCAAGCCTTCTGAGTCCTAGTTGACCCGTCTATCAACTACACTCCACCAGGTATCGCTTGAAGAATTACAGCTCCCCAAATGCTCCAATCTGCATAGCTATGCTGGCTGCAGGATGTGAGGAGCTGCAGTACAGAAAAATGATCTTTCCAAACTATGAATTAAGAGGAAGCTACTTTACAGAAATGTCAAATCATTGATCTATTCAGTGCACCTCCCCACCTTCTCGGGCAAAGATGTCTTCCCTATTGCTTGCTACTAGATTGTTTAACTTCAGATACCAGAAACTGAACAGGGACCTTATGAAGATTGATTGTGTGTTTGGCCAGGGAACTAGGCCCTCTCCCCATTTAATCAAGTTCCCCAGCTAAAAGAAAAATAAGCTGATGGAAAGGATAGTAAGCAATTTGTTACCTGTCACAGTAGAGTTGCATGTGCCGAGGCAATTCCCCATGTGGGACAGCATCCGGTGATTCCTGGAGCTTCAGTGTCTGGAAATCTACACATTTGCACTTGTCTGGAACAATAAAATATGGATCCAAAGGGCACTTTGCCAGGACGTTTTGCTCCCTGGAAGAACACAAGGAAAGAGAATGGGTGATAGAAGATGCTGCCAGTCTGGCTAGAGTCAAGGAAGAGCATTGCCTATCTTGCCCTTGTAGTGTTAAGTCTCATTAAAAAAAATCTCATTGGGGAAATGCAAGATAGGAAAACTACTGTGCCAAGGCAGTTAGCAGAACTTTTAACCACCGTGCTAACTTCAGTGAGCACTTCCAGGGACTATGAGGTAACCAAACATCTGTCAGCATAATCTTTAACAAATTCAGTGGGACTTCCTCTTAGGCATCTAAGAAGCAGTCTTGTATTTAGTTATAGTCAAACCAAACCACAAAGGTGTGTAGTAGCACCTTAAAGACTAATTTTTATATTTCAATGTAAGCCGTTATGGATTTATCCACTTTGTCAGACATATTAGAGTGAAGTGAAACCACATGTCTGATGAAGTGGAGTAACCCAGAAAACCTTGCATTAAAATACATTATAACAGCTAAGTCCTTAAGTTGCTACTATGTTCTTGTGTTATTTTTCATTTGATTTTGCTTACATAGGCAAACACAGCTACTTTATTGAAAACTCTGTCCAGCCCACCCCTCTGGCTCAGGACTCCCGACACTGAGCAGCAGCATCACTCTATGATTTCAAACAGCTTCTGCATACCTACCAGCAGATGCTGGCCATGGAACCTGAGACCTTCTGCAGGAAAAGTAAATATTCTATCAACTGTTCCCCAATAAGCAAACGACAGCTATGCCTTTTATTGCCTTTGAGCAGACATTGTCACATGCATGTTAATTTGTGGCTTTAGATGTTTGTCATCGTAGTTCTATATTTAATGTACACTGTTGGCTACTGTGAGCTTTTATGAAAGGAGGAGTACAGTGGGGTCTTGACTTGAGAACTTAATCCGTATTGGAAGGCAGTTCTCAAGTCAAAAAGTCTGTAAGTCAAGTCTCCATTGACCTACAGTGCATTGAAAACCGATTAATCCCGTAACAGGCCGTTTTTGTTCCATGTTGTTTTTTTTCTGGTCTGTAAGTCAAATCTCAGTCTGCAAGTCAAACCTAAATTTTGCGGCCAGAGAAGTCTGTAACTCAAAAAGTCTGTAAGTCAAGCCATCTGTAAGTCAAGGGTCCACTGTATAAGCTGAATAGGTAATCACAGTTAAAGCTTTACTGTGAATTAGAATAAATAAGCATCAGAGCAAGGGGAATTAGAAGAGGAAGCATGAGTCTTTTCTCTTACGTAGTGCATTTCCGAGGAAGGGCATATCCTTCTAGTCCAGGGCGCAAGACAATATTGGGGATAACATTTCGGCAGGTCCGGCACTGAATAGTGATCTTGGTAGCTTTGGCTTTCACAGCACTGGCAGCAATAACGATGCCCGGAATCTTCACCAGATGTGACATCTGCTCAGACTGAAAAATGAACAGGGAAAAACACACAACTGTCATGGAACCACACCTTGGTGCACATACAAAGCATTCAAAGCCAAATACAAGACCAACAAGTTCCCACTGTACCTATCGAAATTAATCGTATAAATACAACATACTCAGTTCTGAGGTGGGGGTGGCCACTCCTGGAGAGGCTCAGAAGGCTTCTTCCAGGAACTGAGCCTTCCTTAAGGATAGGTGTCCCCTGGAGGTGCATCAAGTTCCATCCTTCTGCACCTTTAAGGAGTTACTAAAGATTGAGCTGTTTAGGGAAGCATTCAATGATATTCTCCCCTGAGCCGTTAGCGGGATTCTGCCCTGCATCATCCTGTTGCCATCGCTAGTTTCTTTATTGGCATCTACAGGCTTTATAATTTAATTTTTTGAGTGATTTTTGTTTTTTAATTAATTGTACTGTTGGGAAATTGGCGGGGTTTTTATATATATATATATATTGTTCATGTGTTTTTAACTTCCCCAAGTACTGCTTTGCACCAAGTCAGGCAGTATACAAATGTAACAAACAAACAGAACCAAGCATGTATAGCAAAATGTTTCATTCATATGGCTGATTTGTGCTAGTTAGAGAAAATAACAACAATAATCTTAGAACTGCAGAGATGGAAAGGGCCCCTATGGGTCATTCAGCCCAGTTCCTGTCAAGGAGGCACAGCAGGACACTGAACTCCTAACCTCTGACTCCACAGCCAGGTACCTAAACTACTAAGCTATCCAGCAGATGCTACTTAAAGTGTTTTTTGTTTCAGATCTCTAGAACATTTGGTCACAGACACAAAGACAGCTTCTCATGTGCCAAGTTCCTAATTGGTGTTTTCCTTCCCAAACAGAAAGAAGTGAATCAAGCTCCCCAAGGCAACATAGGGAGAGTGAATAACAATTGCTATTTTACCCTGATAAAACAGTTTATAAATGCAGAGAGACACAGATTAGTTGTGCAAAGCTACAGCTGGTCTCCCATCTATAGTTTGTCTCCTGTTGTTACAAACTCACTGCTGGGCACCAAGCATGTTTTACCATTTTCCAAAGCTTCTTTCCGCTTTAAGTGCTGTAGTACAACTTCTCCTTTATTTTTCCAAAAAGCTCACCTTCATGCTGCGGATGCTCGACGGATTAGCATCTGATCTCAGCATAACTTGAATGTCTTGAAGATCTTCCTCTCCCACCGGACGAGGACGTGTTACTTCATCAGCTACCTCCTTTGCTGCTTCCTCTAGCTTGGAAAAAATAAAATAACACTATTTAGAACAATGAAAGTTAGTGATTATGACTCTCTTTAATAGCAAGCTTAGGTGGTGAAAAGTGAGCAGAAATGGATACAGAATGGGCTAGATGCGAAACAAGAGGAAGGTGAAGAACAAACTCAGTGGTTAAAAAATTTGGACTTCAAAGATCAAGCTTCCACTGAGCGATTAGACCACTGGTTCCTAACCTTGGGTCCCCATGTGTTCAGGGACTACAATGCCCAGAAATCCTCACCAGCATAGCTAGTGAAGGATTCTGGAAATTTTAGTCCAACATCTGGGGATCCAAGGCTGGGAACCACTGGATTAAACTCATTAGATGACTTTGGGTCGGTCACATTCAACTTGAAAGTCAAAGTGGCAAGAAAAAGGGCAAGTTGTGCTACCTTGAGATCATTGTTGGAAAGCTGAGATATTAATGCAACTAATCAATAAACAAAACTCTGGAGTCTAGTAAAGTACATAATATAAAGTCAAAAGGAGCAACACCCCCTTAACAGTACAGAAGAACCCCTGTAACTCCTACCATACATTTTTTTTCTTCATTTAGTCCTTCTTATCCCATTCTATACATACCAGCTGGAGGTGCTCTGCAGGCTGTTTGTACAGGTAGTCTGCCAGGTCTTCATCAAAGCTTGCCAAATCTTCCATCTCCACTTCAATCCAGTACTGTCCCAGGTTGTAATGCCGTTTGAGTTCATCTCTGAATTACAGTAGGAAAAGTTAGACGAGTAAGGATACATAAAACTAGCTCAGAAATAATAAGGATATTCATGTTAGAATTTTATATAAGGTACCAGCATCTGGTAAAACAGTGGTGCTAACCCATGCCTACAGCCAAGTCCCAAAGGCATAAAGTATACGACAGGGAGCAAACTTATAAAAGGGTGGGGAAGTACACCTGTATTTGAAGGTGAAGCCAGTCCGGTCCGTTCCAACTCGATATTGTCGCAAGAATTCCTTGAAACGTTTCTGCAACTGAGACTTTCGGATCTGCCCCTCATCCCCTGCAGAGTCTCCACCAAAACTGTCACTGTAGAAGATGCCAGGGTCATCAAAACCAGACATGGTGACTTGCTGTGGAAACGCAGAAAGGCACTGAAAGGAAGAGACAGGGTTACAGTTGACATAAAGGTTATACCAGTATTTTGATGTACAGCACAATATAAGTAAACGTTATTACAAAAGTTACTTTTCTGACCATGCTGGCTGGGGTTTCTTGGGAGTTGGTGCTCTCGGAAAGTAATTCTCCCAAACTGGGATGGCATTAGGGTCTAAATTGTCCCAAAGTAAAGTGCAATAAAATCTCTCCAAGTCTAATGCCAAGGGAGGCCCAGAGAGACGGAACAAGAAACTGGGCCTTCTCAGCAGTGGGCCCTCGCTTCTGGAACAGTCTGCCTCCTGCCCCAGATCTGTCTGGCTCCCTTGTTGGGTGTTTTTAAGAGCAATGTTAAGACCTGGATCTTTAGGGAGGCTTTCCCTCCTATCATCACTTGATATTTTTTTTTTTGCCATCTTGAACTGTATTACTGCTGTTTTTCTTTTATCGTATTGTTTTTACTTTTACCTATTATGTTAGCCGCCCAGAGTAGACTTCGGTCTATTAATAAATAAATACCTCTGAGCATATAAGAAATAAATCCCTCTCATCACCAGTTTCACTCAATGTCCTACACAAGTCTCTTCACTGTCTTCTCTCATTTTGCATGCATCCTTCCCTCCTCTATAAATAGGATTCTAAGATTATACATCTGTGGTAAGAAATTGTTCTTTCCAGATAATATAGCTATACTAAGAGGTATTTTATTCTCCCAAACATTCAAAGACTTGTATGAACATACTGAGATCTTGGTACTGTTCGCTTGCTACTAGTTTCATGAGCATTTATAATGCATTTAATTCCTTGCTGCTGGGTTTACATATTTCTTTAAATATGCCGTGAGTTTTGTATTGTAATGTTTAAGTTTCCAATAGGCTGCACACAGCACAGCAAGTTCAGGTTATTATTATTTAAAAGTGTAAGAAACAGATCTATATAATCATGAATAGCCTTACTCCCATATTCGCTGAAATCCTGTGGCTTAGTGTAGTAAGTTCTCCTGCATAGAGAATTAGTGCAGGGAAATTGCCCCAGAGGGAGACCACAGCTATGATACAAGGATATCTGCAAGCGGGATATGAAGGCCTACCTCAACAGATGGAAAACCTTGACATCTGAGCGTTCAGCCTGGAGGCAGGCACTGCATCACAGCCTCTCCCAATTTGAAGATACACTTGTCCAGCAGGCCAAGGCAAAGAGGCCGTCCGGAAAGCAGCAAAAATCAGGGGGCTGGACAGGGGGCAGATTGTATTTGTCTTCAGTGTGGAAGAGATTGTCAGCTCTTGAATTGGCCTTCTCAGCCACACTAGACGCTGTTCCAAGTCCTCTATACAGAGCACGTTACCGTAATCTCTAGAGACTGAAGGATGCCTAATCCAACTGTAGCAAATTGTACTTGAGACCAGCTCAAGTACAAGGGAATTTGGTGAATCGATTCCTCCATAAATCCCACTGATTCAAAAGAAGCCTGCTTTCCTTGTGACTCACTAAACCAATATACTGTAATCTCAACGAGAGTAAACCTATTTAAATCAATGGGACCTGTCCGGGAGTTGACTAAGCAAACCCCATTAATTCAATGGGCTTACTATAGCGTAATTTACTAGGCTAAGCAACAGGATTTAAGTCACTGTCTTCTAGAGGTGAGGGCTGCATCCCATCATCCCCAGTAACAACAGCTAGTTTAGTCTGATAGATGCAGTGGGGCTGCTAGGGAGAGCCTGGAAAAGTTACTTTTTGTAGTTAGAGGTTTCACATGCGAGCGGGAGGATTCTGGGGGATTAATTCAAAAAGTGTCCTTCCCATATTCTGCTGGCAACTGGGAAAGGTTCGAGCGACATCTCTCTGGGCTAGGGCGGAGGCTGCCAGAGCCGTCTTTTTAACTCTGACTCCTGTTACATCAGTCTCCCCTTAGAAGTTAATTTTTTTAACACAGGGTAATAGGGAAAAAAAGGATTAAGGTTAAGGGGAAGTTTTTTTAAAAAGTGCCGTTTCCTGCCCTGACATCTCCGACAGCCGAAAACTCACTCGCCTTCTTACAGAACAAACGCGGGACCATTACCTTATCTTCCGCGCTCGCTTAGAGGTCCGGAGCTCCCCCTTTCTCGCTTACCAAAACGTGGGTTCAGGCCCCACCGAGAAAATCCTCCACCGCCCGACGCGGAAAGGACGCGAGCGATTTTCGCGGGAAAAAGTAACCAACAAAAATAACCCGCCCCGCCGATTGACGCGGGCTATGCCCTCCCATTGGCTTAAAAGAAGCGAAGGCACTAGTGATTGGATAAGAGGGAACGTTCTAACTCCGCCCCCCACCGTGGAGGACGAGAACCGTGACAGCAGGCGTCGAAGCCGATTGGCGGAGGCAGGAAAAAAAAGGGACGCTTTCTTCCGACTTTTTTTTGAAGCGACTTCTTCTCTGGCTGGAGGCTCTTTTAGCGCCAAAACTCTATGCTAGGGCCGGAAACGGTGGAAAGGAAAGAAGGGTTTAAGATGGCGGGTGGGGAGGAGAGAATTGGGGAAATTCGTGACTTTTTTGTCACTGTATAGAGACAAAGTAATTGCACTCGTTCTCAGCTTGATCTGTCTTACTGGATTCTGGTTGTGAGGATAACATCAGGGGAAGAAAAAGCATCTCCTTAGAGAAAAGCAAAATAGGCAAAGGAATAAAGTTTGCAAGGCAAGAATCCAAATTGACGCTGGTTTTCTTAGCGCAGGAGGCTTCCAATTATAGGTAGACAGACCTCTTGAATTGTTTATCCTATCATAGGCTGGAAAGGGATGAAAATTCAACAGGTGCATTTCTTCAGTTGTAGAAAAAGTGGGTCAGAGTGGCTCCGGCATGAAACAACTCAAGAGTGCAGAGTCAAGTAGCCTTTCAGTATCACCTCCGCTCTGACAAACTATTGCAGAATAAGGAATAGTTATGCAGCCTGTGCTGGATGGGGTTACACTCTCTGAAAATGTGTGCATTTTGGGGAGCTCCTACGTTCCTCTCTGAGCCTGGATGCCCAGGTTTTGGCAGTAACCAGGAGTGCTTTTGCACAATTAAAACGAGTGTGTCAGCTGCACTTGTTCCTGGAGATGTCTAATCTGGCCACAGGGACATATGACTTAGTTACTGGTACTTCTTAGCTGGATTATTAATAGTGTGCTCTACCTGGGGCTGCCTATGGGAAGTGGCAGGAAACTTCAGTGGGTCCAAAATGCAACAGTCAGATAGCTGACTGGAGCTGGTTACAAGGATCACATTAACTTCCCATTTACAGCAGCTCCATTGGCTGCTAATCTGTTTCTGGGCACAATTCAAAGTGCTCGTTTTAACTTATAAAGCCCTAAATGGCCTGGGTCTGAGCTATCTCAAAGGTAGTTTCTCCTGTTATGAATCAGTTCAGGTGTTATGATCATCAGAAGAGGCCTTTTTCTTGGTCCTGTCCCTTCACAGGTGTGTTTTGGTAGGGACAACCAACTCCTGTTGCGGAAGTAAATGAGCCAGGACAAACTGCTGAATCAACAGTTCATTTCTGCCTCATTTGAGAAAGTAATTTTGTCTGGTTTGGGGCATTACACAATTTCACTTGGCTGGAGAGGGCTTTACTTTTCTGCCTCAAGCAGCAAAATGTCTTGGGCCAAGAGACTTGGGTTCAGATCTCTGCTTGATGATGAAAACTTGCTGAGGAGGACTACCAGTAAAGTGCTCTCCGATCACCTCACACACCTCAAAAACTCTATTAGGATCATCCTCATTTGATGAGGCACATCGAATGGCACATAACAACAAATAGCTGTGATATCTGTATATGATGTGGCTTAGTGGAGTTGATAAAAGTTATCATGTTTTTATTAGTCTTAAATTAGGGTTTTACATTTTTGAGGTTTGAGGATGGGAAATAAAATAGGCACTTGAAACTGAAATGCTGATCTTGTTGTAATCTATACACTTTACTCAGGATGATTAGTCGAGACCAATTAGAGCAGATCAGTGGCCTTCAGTAACTACAACAATCCAGTCAGTTAAGAATTTCAAGAATGATTTTTCTCGCATCTGATCAATGCACGTCTGTGTGTGGAGGAGGCTTTTAAATCCCTATTGATGAGTGTGAACATGCTGACAAAATGTGCTTGTTTGCCGATAATGAGACAAGATTAGAAGTGGACAACATCATCATCGTCATCATCTTAGAACTGCAGAGCTGGAAGGGATGCTGGGGTTCATGAATCCACCCCCTCAATAGGGAATCAAATTCCCAGCCTCAGTCAGATACCTAAACTGCTGTGCTACACAGCAGTTCACATGCCATTGCTGGAATTTTGGAGGGACTCCCCATTCATATGATGGTACTTCATTTCAGTTTTTTTAAAAAAAGTGCACTCTTGTAGCTTTTTAAAAAAAGAGGGTTATGTTGGATATATTGGGAACCCCTCGCGACATGGCAAGATAGGGCCAAAATTCCTAGAGAGCATATGGGGACTTTCCGAGCCAAACAATTTAGAGTGTATGGAGGTGCTAGACTAGACTGAAATGGCATGTTTTTCAGAATGGGCCTTTGGTAATATTGCTGAGGATTTTGCAGAGATAAAAATACTGTATATTGTTTTTTCCCAAATGTGCAAGTGGTGGTAGCAAACAACAATGGGCTTGCCGGTGGACACAAATTAAGGTAGTTTTAGGACTGAGCACTGATTGTCCAATTCCATATAGAAATAGTTAATATAAGTAGGAAAAGAAAAAAATACCTTACCCACATTCTGATACAGTACTGTATTATGAAAAGGACAAGTATTCCGTTAGTTCACAGTTAACTTTAATGATGATACACATAAAATACAGACATGTTACAAGTACATGAGGATACACTCATGTATATTGTTCACTCCCTCCTGAGGCCCAAATGTGTTTCAAAATTACAAACATCATATACAGCCATAGAATGATGTATTGTCCTTAGGTTTGGATATACAACAGTAGATAGTTGTAGAAAATAATCAATGGACAAAATACCAACAGTAACGTATATTCCTCGGTCATCTAAAATGGAATGTGATCGGTCCTTGTGGTTTTCTGACTTTTTTGAAGGCCTAGCATGTTGTAGCACACCAGGAACTTTGGAGAAATGTTCTACATAAAAGTTGTGGAATTTTGAAACCGTTTGTATAGTCCATATTATTAGTAATGCAAGATCATCCAAGCAGAGTGTTCCTTTCTAGGTAAAGATCAGTCAGTTTGAGAAGAGGCAGATGCTGGTGGAAATATGTTTTAAGTCTCTTCTATTCACATGGCATAAAAGCCCACAAGGATCGTTGTTGCTAAGAAGAAAAGAACCAGAGTCCAACGTATGAATGATGTGCTGGGCAACATGTCCTTATGTGTCATCTGTACCCGGTCATCTTGCTTTGGACCTATATTAAGAGAAAGGAAACTTTTTAAAGCTGGAAACCAGGTGGAGAGATTTTGTTTCCACAACATTAAAGTGACATTCCAGTCGTATCGATAACATCACTAAATGCCAGGCATATGCTTTCAACAGAGCAGCTACACAAGATAAGTGATACAGAAAGATAATATTACACCCCCCCCCCAATTTGCTGCACTGTGTAAAGCTGTGGGGTGGTGTTGGTTGTAAAATGAAGAGTACTGGAAAATAACATCCATAAACATTCAGCCACTAAATGACCACTTTGTCATTCAGAATTAAGGCTATGGTTACCAAAGAGGTCATAACTTCCACTGAACACTATGGAATTTTAGTTTGCAGAAATACGCAGATGGTTGTACTTGCATTTTATGTACAGTGGTGCCTCACAAGATGATTTTAACTGGTTCCCCGAAAATTGTCATCTTGTGAAAAAATCATCTTGCGAGGTTCCCTATGCATCGGTCTCAAAAAAAAAAAAAAAGTCCTGCGAAGCATCGGTCTTAAAAAAAAAAGTCTTGCGAAGCATCGGTCTAAAAAAAAAATCTTGTGAAGCACGGTCATAGAAAAAACGCCTTGCAAGGTACCATAGTGATCGCAAAAAACAATAGTCTTGTGGGTTTTTCGTCCCACGAGGCAATTGTTTAGTGAGGCACCACTGTAATACAAAAATCCTAGGAAGCCAAGATCTCCAGAGCTTGGAAAAGTTACTTTTTTGAATTGCAACTCTGAACCATCCAGGCCAACACGGCCATACTGCCTAGAGGCTTCTCGGAGTTGTAGTCCAAGAAAGTAAGTTTTCCAAATTCTGCTAGGCTCTACAAAATCTTTGCATAAATTGGGATTTTTTTTTGTTTTCCATTCACTTTTGTTTTCCCTTCCACTTGTATACTAAGAGATCAAACTATGATTTTGGCTCAGTGAATAGTATTTCCTATACTTGTTTGTTATACTGCTTCAGTGAGTTCATAGAAAAGGCCAGACTCAGCACCTCCATGCTCTCCCTAAAAAGACTTTTGCTGTGTTTTGCCTAATTTCTGGCTCTTTTGCTGGATATCTAAATGACAGCTTCATCTTCTAATTCTCCCATATTGTAATTTATTCCCATATTGTAATTTATTCCATGCTTTAAAGAGGAAAGAATGGGAGAACTGCATAGTGCCTTTTTATTGATCCACCTGGAAGTATGCTGGCATACTTCAGTATCATTTGCAAATAGATGATAATTCTACCACATGTCTATTGCAAAGTATAATAAAATGATGCCCTGTAAGCCCCCACAGTCTATGTTACGAGTGTAAGTGAGTTTTGTTATCTGCCTCAAACTCTTGGACTTCTAGTACTGGAGGAGGAAGAGACATGGGATATCCATCAGAGACTCCTTAGTATCTGTCAGACAATTGCCAGCACTACAACTCCTTGGATAAATCATTAATGGGATATAGAGGTGTCAGGATGAAACTATATCTATTAAATTCACTTCAAAACCGCATATGTTTGCAGTGTAGGTGTTCACTCAGAGTGTGATCACACAAGGGAAAGGATGGCATTTTGGATTGATTATGGAGCAGTCTACTGGAATCTCTTTCCTGGTGATCATATGATGTGCGGAGAAATGCACTCCAGCCTGAACCCAATCCATACTTCTTTTTGAGGACATACAGAAGTAATTCTATGACAGATGGAAGGGTCTCTTTAAAGGAGATCACTCCCTGCAAAGTGACCCTTTCTGGGGCAATCAAGTGCATGCCTTTCCAACCATTTGATTGCACCCTCAGTACAGACCTTGGGTACTGATCATCAAAAGTGTAGATCAGAAAAGCTAGAGAAAAATTAAGGGAGCTGTCTGTTATGGAGCCAGTGGGAATCTGAATGGTGTGCAATTGCAGGAACTGAAATTGCTCTGATAAATAAGCCCTTACCCTGTGTACTGTTGATTCCTCTTGTGTGAAGCTCTGTCTTGGGCTTCACAATGTGTCCATTCTCTGAGATTCGTCCTTGGCTCGCTAGCCTCTCCAGCTCCTCAAACACCTGTGAAGATGGATTGCACAGTATTTTTGTTACTAAAGAACACTTTCTTTCCTTTTCCACACAAATATATCAGCGTTTTGCAGAAACTGTTTTTAAGGTTTTAGATGGTCTTTGATCTTCCAAGCCTCCTATTCTGGTTTGCAATATAAATATGAAATCACTTTGGGGAAAAGATGGAGAACTTGCTAGCATAGCCTCCCCAGCTTGGTTGGACTACAGTTCTCATCATCCCCAGCTGGCACAGCCAATAATGCATAAACAGACAGCATAAACATTTTTCCTTGTGTGTGTAAAGAATATTTCAATTACTGTACATCCTAAAAATATAGATGCTTATAGCCTTAAAATGCTAATTTTTAAAGGATGGAATACATCTCTAAAAATATCAAAGTTGTTAAAATAAAAGTCTATGAAAGTAAAATAGTGTTTTAGCATATCTAGACACAAATGAAAAGTATTCTCAATGATCACCCAGCGAAACCGATTTGAAACTATGGAGAAAAATCCATGACGACTGTTGCTGCTGGTTTCAGGAAAATGAAGCCTCCTACTGTGCTGTTATGTGATTGTTATTGATATCCAGTGCATGTGGTGTGCATGGAGCGTGCATGGAGCTGTGTTGTTTTTCCATGGTGAGTTGAATGTGGATGATGAATTGGATTCATGTTTGTGTTGAATAAAAGTCTATGAAAGTAAAATAGTGTTACAATAACCATATCTGGCCTCAGTTAGCATGGCCATTGGCCATAATGACTAGGGAACTTTGGGAATTTAAATCAGTAAAAGTAACATTTGAGGAAAATGAAGCCTCCTACTGTGCTGTTATGTGATTGTTATTGATATCCAGTGCATGTGGTGTGCATGGAGCGTGCATGGAGCTGTGTTGTTTTTCCATGGTGAGTTGAATGTGGATGATGAATTGGATTCATGTTTGTGTTGCTTATCTCCCTATATTTATAATTCTTTCAATAATTTTCCTTTTCCTTCTAGCTATAAACAATCCTTTTTTAAGGGGCTTAAAATCGAGGGAAAAATTTTCAATAGGAAATTCTATTTTCCCCAACATCTTCATAATTTTGAAGGCTTGTAACTACATCTCTGGCAAGCTGACACTAAGACATATTGCTTTGACTAAAATTTTGCAATGCTTGGAGGAAAATAAAGGCCTGTAACACCAGGGTTCTGGAATGCCAGAACATTGGAAAACAGAATATTGTAACATCAAGGTATTGGAACTACACATAATGCAAATTTTAAGTCCTGCATCCTGTGTTTCTGCTTTGTTATCATTTGGAAAACATGTTCAACTGTCAGGAATGTTACGATCCAGTGACCTTGTTTGTGGTATGCTGGCTAATTGTTTTCCAGTCACTATAGTAAACTATTTTTCAAACCTAAATTTTAAAAGCACTTTCATTTTCACGGCTATTTTTCTATTCGCTTTTAATTATTTTAATACCATACACACAATATTTTATATCTTGTCAATATATTGTGGTCCAAGAACATTTGCTGTAAATTCTGATCCTTTGGACTTAGTAGCCTTTTTAGTTGGCGTAGACCTTTCTGAATTATCCCACGTTCGTTTAGTCATTTAGTTGTGTCCGACTCTTCGTGACCCCATGGACCAGAGCACGCCAAGCCCTCCTATCTTCCACTGCTTCCTGAAGTTGTGTCAAATTCATGTTGATTGCTTCGCAGACACTGTCCAGCCATCTCATCCTCGGTCGTCCCCTTCTCCTCTTGCCTTCACACTTTCCTAACATCAAGGTTTTTTCCAAGGAGTCTTTTCTTCTCATGAGATGGCCAAAGTACATTATCCCACAAGTAAATCCTATTCCTACCCCCACCTTTTTGTGGATTACAAAAACCATATCTGGCCTCAGCTAGCACGGCCATTGGCCATCATGACTAGGGAACTTTGGGAATTGAAATCAGTAAAAGTAACATTTCCAAGCTTAAGACTGGATTGGACCAGTGCCCCCTAGATGGTTTGGACCACAGCTCCCATTTGATCAGCTAGCATGATCACTGGGCAGCAGTTATAGGAATTATAGTCTGGATGGGCTCAGTCTACTCTGTGTTATTACAGTGTCCAGTTTAGGAGAATAAATGTGGGAGAAGATCAGTGCAACTAATAAAAAACAACACTAGTTTTCTCACAGAATTGCCAGCAGATGGCGATGTTGTATATTAAAGAGATAATACAGTCAGTAAATTACTCACTTCTATGTTCAGCAGGAAAGATTTCTTGGCCTCTTCCAGGATTCTCTCTTCAGTAGCAAGGTCCATGGGGAGACTGTTCATCCGAGCTCGGTAGAGCTGTTTGAACTTGGAGATGTTGGTGACCCCAGGGAAATTGAAGAAAGACAGTCCCTCTCCAGTACTTGGCAGTTGTAGCGATTTTTGGGCAATTTTCTTCAGAATCTGGCCCCCAGACAAATCTCCTAGGTAGCGAGTGTAAGCATGAGCCACTAAAAGCTCTGGTTCATACTGACCCACATGATAAATCCGGTCCACATATTTCTGAGTTGCCTCATGACACTGGATCTCCTCTTTCCATGTTGGACCATAGAAATATTCTAAGTCTTTCTCCAAAGCAGCCTTGCGATTAAGTTCATTTGGGAAATAAACAGGTGCATAGACTGGGTTGTCCTTATTCCGCTCAGATTCATCCTCAAGAGCCGAATAGATGTAGTACAGAGAAGCTAAATACAGCTGAAACAAAGAGCAAAGGAGAAGAACAAGCTTAGATAGTTCCAAAGCCTACCTGTTAACAATACAAATGAATCATTTGCATATATGTCATATAAAGCTAGTTTCAATTCTTTTTGTTTACTTATTGATGGTCCTTGGGAGGTTCTTCTTTTAACCCCCTTTAAACATTTGGTTTCAGAAGCATTCCTGGGTACTTTGAACACAGTAACAGAATTGCCTCATTAGAACTTGGGAAAATACTCAGATCATGACTATGATTAGACACTGAAGCTGCACAAGTAAGATATTTGGGACCCAAGTCAAAAGCCTTCAGCATGAAATGTAAAAGAACTTTCTTAGTTTTCCCAGGCCTAACAACAGACTTCCAGTAATGGAAAAGAGACGAAAAGTACTGATAACTCTGTTGATAAAAACAATGGGTTGGATCCAAAGGTGGCTTCATGCTAGCAATGGAAGCTACTCACACTTGTATGCAAGGCATGGCATCTGATGATGAGGGACCAGATGCAGCCCATTGTGTAATAACTGACCACATTCCCTAGTCCTCAAAAAAAGCTTTCTGGAGAATCACAGGGGAGCCTACAGTGAGTATGAAGAATTAGTGAAAATCCAGCCCATTGCCCTGTGGAAGCGCTTCCTACAATTGCAAAGCCACTATTGGATGCCACTGAGCAGATATAATGCTACCAAAGTCACTGCCAGCTACCTTTGCAGGGGGAAAAAGGAGTCATTATTGCTACATTGCCGGTACTTTGATAAAGAACATTCCGTCCCATACTGTGTTGCAAGTGGAAAACAGAACGAGAAACACTTTAAATATTAACTAAGTTCCCAGGAATATGCTGTTTAAATCCAGTAAATCCAGCCCAAAATATTGCACAATAATTTTAGGAAATATTTTGGTGCTGCAAACCAAAGTGCTCTTATGTGGAACAGATAATAATCATGTGCTGTCGAGCCCATTCTAATGTATGGTGTTTTCCAGGTAAAAATACTCAGAAGTGGTTTACCATTCCCTTCCTCTGGGGTCATCCTCAGGCAATGCAGCCTGCCCAAGGCCACTCTACTCCTGGCAGGTGCAGTGGGGGAATCAGACTCCCAACCTTTACCACATAAGTGCCTATATTTCAGTCCTCCTCCCCAGTAAACTATTAGCAGCTGTTGGAAAATATTTTAATTGGGAAAATGACACTAGAGGAAGGACTAAATGCCCTTCTCCACTCTAGCACTGCTACCATGATCTAATTAGCACCACCATCTGATTTTAGCCTAGTTGTTGGGGGGTGAGAATGCTAGAACAAAGATTTCCTGTGTATTATGTTAAATCTGGTCCTGATTGGTCAAGTTACCTTTTGATGCTCTTATCCATTTTATTACTGGACAAGGATTAGCCTATGCTAGTGCTCAGGTAGCAAGGAATGTATTGCCTTCCCACTCAATTGGTTTGGTTGAATGGGAGACAGCCAATCAACAGAGAATGGAAATGTCCAGGAAATATATAGCGTGTTTTTGTTTGATAACAAAATTGGCCCCATAAACTAGCCTCTTGAGAGTGTTATTGTTGCTGCCATAGATATCTCTGAGGGATTTTTCTCCATCTTGACTTTTTTACATCTGTGTTCCTGTTTACTTGCAACTGATTAGTATTCAGAAGCTACACCTAAGAATTATTTCCAACCAGTTTTACCAGGCTGCTGCAAGGTATGTCCAACATGCATTTAATCTAACACACCTTTGAAAGGTGGGAGTTTCCTTAAAATTCAAAGTGAGCCTGGGAATTGTTTCCTTCTTTGCCTCTGGTATGAAGCAGGATGACTTCTCAACATCACCAAACAAGATGCTAAGATTATGGGGGGTTTTAAATTATAAAATTCAATTATTAAGAGGATTAATATTTTTTCTCTCCTTGGTCTTAGCCATCTGTCTTCTCCTAACTTTTAGTATTCCAGTTATTCACCAACCCTGGCCACTGAATGCAAGCACATTAACCTTAGTGATGTTTCTGAGCAGATGGTCAACCCAGAAATTTGATGTCACTGCCAGTACAATCCTTTTGCACAAGAGACTGCTCCTGGTTTTCCTACGAATCTTTTTTTGCCCTTTTGAGCAAACTAATTGGAGATAAGAAGGGCTGTGGTTAAGCAACTCAGTGTCAGAACTGCTGATCTAGAACAAACCTCCACCTATGCACCTAATCTATGCTTCTACCTTATCTGGAACTAAGTGGCAAAAACATATAAAAGACTAGGCTAGGCAATCCAAACTTGTTGTACTCTTATTATATAGGGATAGGGAAGTCATAGATATAAATTTTATTTTATTTCAAATATTTTTACCCCAAATTTCTCCTTAAAAAGGTTCCAAGGTGGCATACATCATTAAAAAGGCCCCAAGGTGGCTTACATGATTAAAAGACAATACTGTATTTAAAACTAAAAACAGTAAGTATACAAATACTAAAAAAGATCAGACAAGTACCACTCTAAGAAACAGTAAACAAAAGCAACACAACACAAACATATTCAAAGCAGTAAGGCACAACAAAACCCCCAGTCAGGTAGCCAGCGATGAAGGCAAAGCTTGCCTGAAGAGAAAGGTCTTTGCCTGGTTGCGGAAGGACAGCAAAGATAGGGCCAGCCTGGCCTCCTGTGGGAAGGAGTTCCAGAGTATAGGAACAGCAACAGAGAAGGCCCTCTCCTGTGTCCCCACATAATGTACCTGTGAAGGTGGTGGGACCAAGAGAAAGGCGCCTGATTATTATCATAACACCTGAGCAGGTGCATAAAAGGAGACACAGTCCTTGTGGTGGCTTTGGCCCAAACTGCTCAGGGACCAAGTCCTCTACATGAAAGCATCTCCTCTATTTGAAAGACAATGCAGACCAAGCCCACTTTAAAGGAAAAGGATGGAGAACTTGCATATACAGCATTTGAATAGTAGACTGGAGCACACACCCACCACCTGGCCACACTGTTTCCCACTAGGGTACGTTACACTGTAGAGTACTTCTGTTTTAAGTTATGGCAATTCTTTCTCACTCTGCATCTATCTTTATACGTTAGGCATCTGCAAACTGTGCACATATCCATTCCATCTTTTATCTCTATCTAATCTAATTTTATTTGTATCCCGCCCATCTGGTCTATACGACCATTCTAGGCTGTAGACCATCGATGTTGGCTTGGGGTTCTGGGAAAGAGAGTCCAAAAAAGATTAACACCTCCAATTGCTCCTTGGAAGAGAAGTTCAAACTTCTGTTTTCAGGATCATGTAGGAATTTAGATTAATCTCGTTCTCTTCTAGTAAGAAAAGCACTTGCTGATATAATGTGTCCCATCTGGTCTATACGACCATTCTAGGCTGTAGACCATCGATGTTGGCTTGGGGTTCTGGGAAAGAGAGTCCAAAAAAGATTAACACCTCCAATTGCTCCTTGGAAGAGAAGTTCAAACTTCTGTTTTCAGGATCATGTAGGAATTTAGATTAATCTCGTTCTCTTCTAGTAAGAAAAGCACTTGCTGATATAATGTGTGTAGTTATATATGTATTCCAGGCATTTCTGGGAAAGATTTTTTTTTAAATCCCCCAGACTTTCCAGCTTTTGCAGCAATGAATGGCACTGGTGCCACATCTCCACATCCTGCCCCCCCCGCCCTCCCCCCTCGAACCAGGGCTGGGGTACCTTAAATTCCCGAAGTGAGATCTGGCTCCTTTGGAAGTTCTTCATGAACGCGGTGTTCTCCGCCTGGACGTGCACCTCCTTGGTGCTTTCCTTCAGGGCTTCCGACAAGTCCCGGCGGGACATCCTGTAGGGGAGACGCGGGAGAAGAGCATCAGCATTAAGGAGAGGCATCAGGCAGCCAGATTATATTGTTGGGGGGGGGCAGGAGGTGTGCACCATTCCTGAAAGATTGGGGCTGGGAGGAGCACGGATGGGGGCGCGCCCGCCCCCCTGCCTCGATCAAGAGGCGTCCCTGGATACGACTCAACCCCCAGCTCCGAAGCGCTTGTTTCTGCACAGCTGAGAACCTGATGAAATCAAAAACGCTGATACTTAGAATGGAATTAAACGTCCTGAGAAGTCCTGAGAATTAAACGTCCTTGATCAAAAGCTTACAGGTAGGGAGGGGTGAGTGGATGTATTAGAAAGAGAGAGAAATTTCTTGACAGTGATGCCAGATAGCCATCCCAAAGATCTACAGGTCCATTTTAATCCTTCATGCCTCAGCAGTCGCTCCAGATCCTGGACAAAAGAAGTGACTACGGAGTCAAGCGGAATTGAAATGAGGATGGTGTCATTAGAGTATTCGTCTACGAATACCAATGACCCTCATCTCTAGTCTAGATCATCTATCCCTAGTACTCACCCTTCTGAGCGCTGAGCCATCCTGGCTTGCTTTCGTCCGGTCAACTCGTCACCTTTTCTTCCTCGTCTCTCTTTTGCCCCGCTGGCTTCCTCTCCTCCAGAGTCTGAGAAGTTTCTGCCTTGGGCAGCCCTTCTCCCGCATCTTTCTTTATACTCTCATCCCGGGGGTCACGTGCTCAGGCAGGAAAACATCTGACCTCAGCGTACAGTACTGTACCCTTGCAACAGCCAGGCTGCTCTCCCCGCCCTCCCCGCTGCTTCCCTCTTCTTCTTCCTCTGGGAGGGAGGGAGGGAGGGAGGAATCACCTGATGCTGCTTGGCAGCTAAGCATAACAGGATGTCTACATTCCCTTGGGTATTCTGCCAGAACTGATTAACCCTCTTTGTGTTTCCCCGTAGCTGCACAATAACCTATGTTTCTCAATATGGAAGACTGCTGTGGAATCTACTACATGATCCTTTTGTACCAAAGCAAGGTAGGAGAAGACAAAGAGAGCTAATGAAGGGGAGAACCTCTGTGACTGCTGGAGAGGTAAAGGTAAAGGTTCCCCTTGACAATTTTTGTCCAGTCGTGTTCGACTCTAGGGGGCGGTGCTCATCCCCGTTTCCAAGCCATAGAGCCAGCGTTTTGTCCGAAGACAATCTTCCGTGGTCACATGGCCAGTGCGACTTAGACACCGAACGCTGTTACCTTCCCACCGAGGGGGTCCCTATTGATCTACTCGGATTTTTACATGCTTTCGAACTGCTAGGTTGGCGAGGAGCTGGGACAAGTGACGGGCGCTCACTCCGTCGCGCGGATTCGATCTTACGACTGCTTGGTCTTCTGACCCTGCAGCACAGGCTTCTGCGGTTTAGCCCACAGCGCCACCACATCCCCTGGAGACGTGGAGTGCTGGAGAAGACAGTTATAAAAGTCGAAGAAGACCAAATATGAGATGGATTGACTCAATAAAGGAAGCCACAGACTTGAGTTTGAGCACAACTGTTAACAACAGGACATTCTGGAAATCACTTTCTTGCTCGTCTTTCTTTACCGTAAGTCGGAGGTGACTTGAAAGCAGACAAGGACACTCAAGGTGCAATTGTATCACCAGCTAAACTTTTAAGTGTCCTTTCCAGAGCTTAGAAACTATTATAAAAAACAAAACAGGAGTTGGGATAGTGTGCCCTCCAGTTGTTGGACTCTTGCTGGAACACCAACTATGCTACCTGAGGCTGAGCAGTGTTGGAATCTAGCCACAACTGGAAGTCCACAGCGAGCTATTGTGGGTTATATATATATATATATAAAATTAAGGCATAGGAGTGTTACATATCATTCTTCACCATATGCTAGAAATGCCCATACTGGGAAGCCTTGCATACAAATGGCAACCTCGTATGAAAATGATGCTGCCGTGATAAGGGCACTTTCATAAAATAAAATGTATCATTTAATCAGAAAGGACTTTTAAAAAGACTACAGTGTCTCATATCTCCCAGCCAGCATGGTCATGGACAACCAGAGAGTCATGCCCCCAAAAAGTAACCTTTTCTCATTTTTTATTGGTTGCCAGCATACCTGGAGTAAAAATAGCTTCACCTGATCTTGCTCACATTACAAAAATTTGGTCTATACAAATAAAAGCAGCTAGACTAGTTGGAATAGCTAAATGAAACCTATGGGTTCGTCGGTAGTCTATCTCTCTTGGGGGACAAACAATTGGAGCTTTGTGTCATCTTCACAACTTGCTCGTAGGCTTTCCTGAGGCATCTGGCTGGCTACTGCTGATCACAGAGTGCTCAACTAGACAAGGCTTTGATTTCTTCCAGTAAGATTACCCTTGTGCTCTGAGAAATCAGCAATGGAAGGTTAACCTGACATGAAGATTAGTAGTATCTCATGCCATTATATGTAGATAAAGCTGCTGTGAAAAGCTCAGGAGCATGGACAGATAAAAAAAGCTGGCAATGCAAGGCACAAATCAATTGCGGGAATTACAGTGTGCTTAGTAAACATAATGACTTGGCTAGTTCATTGCACAACCAGGATTAGAAGTTCAATTCCCACCTATGTCTCTTAGGAAAGTAGTCAACCTGTGTAGATTTGGGGGAGATGTACTGTCTCAGTATGTCCCAGAAAAAAGGGAATGGTAAGCCAGAATAATTGATATATGTGAAATATGGAGGAGAGATTTACAGATTCCATGAACCAAGAGAAATATATCAAATTATGCTTGAACTCTTGCTAGAAGCTGAAATGACCAAACTGAGGCTATTGTACTTTGGATGTATCACCAGAAGACAAGATTCATTGGAAAAGAGAAAACCTTGAAGGCAGTGGGAGGAGAGGAGACTCTTGCTAGAAGCTGAAATGACCAAACTGAGGCTATTGTACTTTGGATGTATCACCAGAAGACAAGACTCACTGGAAAAGAGAAACCTTGAAGGCAGTGGGAGGAGAGGAAGATCTAAAATGAGACAGATTGACCCAACAAAGGAAACCATAGATTTGAATTTGGAAGACCTGAGCAGGATTTTTAATAACAGAATATTTCAGAGGTTATCATTCAGAGAGCGACATATGTCAGAAGCAAGTTGACAACACATGACAAAACAGCAACAAATGTAATCCGGAACCTGGTTCCAGTCTTATTGTTTATCCTCAATGCATTAGAGTTCCCATTAGGTCAGAAAATGCCTCAGAACTCTCTCAAAACAAACCTTAGACCTCCCCCTGCATGCATCAATCTGGATGAGGATTTAAAAACTGTGACAATTTTCATTTGTTTTAGTTTAAGAGGCAGACATTTTGAGGTAAGTGGGTTAGAGTTTAGGAAATATGACATGCTGACAATGCTGCTGACTCAGCTGAACTTCTTTATAACTTCACTTTTTTCCCCTTTCAAAACAACCAGATTGTTCCAGATAGATGAAGCATCATTATCATGTGCTGTCAAGTCAATTCTGACTAATGGCGACCCTTTCCAGGGGTTTCCAGGTAGAGAATACTCAGAAGTGGTCTTCTCTTCTGGAAGTGCCCTGGAACTGCGCAGCTTGCCCAAGGCCACACAGGCTGGCTCTTCTCCCAGGAGGCACAGTGGCTCCACAGCTAGATACCTACACCACTGAGCTATCCAGCCAGTTTGGTCTAGATAGAACATCCTTGTAAAATGTTCTCAGCTCTACTGAAACTACTCCATAGCCAGTTGTTACACTACTGCTGTCTTTACTAAGATATATAACAAAATAATTATATAACAAGTCACAATCTGAATGGCCACCATGAGTCACATGAATCTTCTTCTCATGATATAGTAAAGTACCAAACATGTGAATGATGATTGTTTAATTGATCCTTGTGAGATGGCTGTGGGGATCAATGTGGTTCATCCATTATCAAAGAATACTTTGGAGATTTCAGTTTAAGAAAGAGGGAGCAGAAATGAAAGCCTTCAGACTGGATATGTTTCCCACAGATCACTCAAGTCACACCCAGGACACATTTACCTCATAGAAACCATGGTGATAAGGTCATTTGAGAAGGTGTTCTATTGGCATCAGCTGTCTGTTCATTGCTACTCTCCTGTCAGATATTTTAATGGTTGCCAAATGAATGAGGTGGGGGAGGACAGAAAAATAGTAATGGTAGTAGAGCAATATGGCATGAGCTTGTGATGTCATAAGGGCACCATATTTGTCTGGGTTTAAGAATGAGCCATTGTGCAGTTGCTGTTGGCCCTTGGAGACAGTGATAGACTATGGCTGTAGAGACCTGGATTTTCATTTCTGATCAGTCAGAAATGCTTATTCGGTTATTTCATACTGCTCCTTATATTCCAGGCGAACTTATCTCAGATAAGTTTTCCTTGTTCTTCCTTATTAACTCTCTAAGTTTTTGTGAGGGGGAAAATGGATGTGGGGAAGAGAGTCGATATGCTCTCCTGACACGACTGGCCCTGCCATTAGGCAGAGTGAGGCAACTGGCTTCACTGCTGGATGGCAATGACAGCAGCTCCCACTGTTCCTCCTAAAGCTGCCCACACAGGTGTTTGTCTCGGTCACGGATATGGGCAGACCCTGCCCTGGGTCCCATAAACTAAAGCTTGGAACAGCTACTTTCCGGACTACAGCTCCCAGAATCCCCAAGCTAGCATGGTGTTATGTTGTCTTGGTCATTCTGGGAGATGAAGGCCAAGAGCGTTCAAGCTCAGAGCAGTTTTGGCCTACAGCCCAGAGAACTTTGGGTAGAGTGGGTGGCATATAAGTTGAATAAATAAACAAATGAACTATTGTCCCCACTTTACAATGAAGGTATTTATCATTTCTATTGCTGACATGAGATTCATCTGATAGACCCTCTGGCATCTGCATGTGAAATGAGCAGAGGGGGTCATGTTGTTCTTTGCCTCATGTAGCAAAATGTCTTTGAGCGCCCATGTGCCCTGATCAGTCTGTGTAATGGGATATTCCACTATTCACTTTCAAATGATGAAGACATATTAGCTTCTTGTAGCTTGTTTGTATAGCTTCTTTTTCTTTACAGTGCTGAATTACACTCTCCATATGTCCAGAATAATCTTTGGCATGATCAGGACATGACAACATATTCTTAGAACTGCAGAACTGGAAGGGACCCTTTGGGTCGTCGAGTCCAGTCATTGTCAAGGAGGCACCGCGGGGAATTGAACTCTCAGCCTTTGGCTCTGCAGCCAGAGACCTAAACCACTGAGCTGTCCAGCAATTTTCATTCTCAGCTATGCCAAGTTGTGGCTTCTGTATGGTGGAGCCAATTGTGACCAGCAGCAGACCCTAAATGCACTACAAAGTAAAGGTGTGATGAAACTGTAGTGCCTGAATAAATGTTCCATAGCTTTTGATGGCTCCTAGCACCATTAAATAAATATAATGTTGAATAATGACATGAACTGGTGGGATCTGCAATAAATAAATAAAAAGTTTATGGCATGGGCTAGTGCTATTTAGTCAGCTAGCATGTCCTCTTCAGGCTACTCCATTTCATCTTCTAATCAGTCAGCACTCTGTGACTGTATATGTTCGGTTAACACTGAGTGTTTTTGATCTAGTGTTTTATCTAAAGATATTTGTATTTCAGCAATCCTATGAGTATCCAGTATCCCCTTGGACATGGATGGTACCATTTGACTGCCTAAACAAGGACATTTCACTCTGGATATTTGGAGAAAGAGGGAGTGATTGATTTGCTGAATTTTGTCTCTTTATGTAGTTGTTACTCACAAGGAGCCTTGTCTAAAAAAATAAAGCTGGTTAGTCCATGAAATGATTGGATCAGCAGCATTTAGACACTTACCCTGCCTCTTTAAATTCATTATTGGTACAAGAATAGAGGTCCTACATTGCCAGTTGAAGCACATGAGATTAAATTTCCTAGTCAGCTTTAGGTTCTTTCTTAGACTCACTGTCTCTGCTACAGCTGCTGGGAACCATGCCAGAGGCTAAACTCCAAGAAGATTGCTTGCATTACTCAGCAAAAGCTGAGCAAAAGCTGTACCACGTTTCAGGAAACATGATACAGTGACACAGCAAAAATAGCCCTGAAAGGAACCGCTGACTCAGGAAACATCACGTCCCGCTCACAACAGGAAAGAGGAACAGGCTTGGAGGATGTGGCAACAAGCTTGCAGAGGACTGAAAACCCCCAGTAGTGTGAATGGAACATAAAGCATAATGAGCAAAAGTGAGGTGGTTTAATTAAGAAATTACAGTTGGTTTTGTAAATACAGTACTTTGATTAAAGACTTGGACTTTCCGACAGCAGGCAATGCACAGTTAGTACTGCTCTGGAAGAGATGTTGTAATCATTTTACTGTCTACAGTTAAACGCAGAGCTTGTCATTTTAGTTCAAATGGCACATATATAAAATAAAATAGAGGAGTTCCCAGGACGCTGTCCAGAGAAGAAGACAAGAGCTGGGTTCAGCAGGGGAGGGTGAACTGCACGAAACACTTGGACAGCAGCTTGTCCTTAGAATTCAAGTTGTTGTTTTATCCGTTATTTTCTTGAAATCATGGGAAATGGGGTGTGTGCCAGAGGATTGGAAGAAGGCTAATGTCCTTATCTTTTAAAAGGGCAAAAAAGAGGAACCTGGAAGCTACAGGCCAGTCAGCCTGACATCGATCCCAGGCAAAATTCTGGAACAGATCATAAAGCAGTCATTGTGCAAGCTCCTAGAAAGCAATGCAGTAATAACTAGAAGCCAACACAGATTTGTCATGAACAAATCCTGCCAAACTAATTTGATCTCATTTTTTGATCAGGTCACCTCGCTGATAGACTGAGGGTATGCTGTAGGCGTAGTATATCTTGACTTCAGCAAAGCTTTTGACAAAGTGCCCCATGAGATCCTGATTAGCAAGCTAACGAGGTATGGGCTGGATAGATCAAGTGTCAGGTGAATATACAATTGGCTACAGAATCGTACTCAGAGGGTGATGATTAATGAGGCCTTCTCCAACTGGGAGGAGGTAAAAGTGGGGTAACCCAAGGCTCAGTCTTTGGCCTGGTGCTCTTCAATATCTCAGTATCTTTATTAATGACTTGGATGAGGGAGTGCAGGGAATGCTTGTCAAATTTGCAGATGATACAAAATTGGGTGGAACACTGGTTCTTAACCTTGAGTTACTCAGGAGTTTTGGACTGCAACTCCCAGAAGCCTTCACTACCAGCTGTGCTGACTGGGGTTTCTGGGAGTTGCAGTTCAAAAGCATCCGAGTAACAAAGGTTAAGAACCCCTGCCCTAGAAGACAGAAACAACATTCACAATGACCTTGATAGGATGGAGTACTGGGCTGAAAGCAACAGAATGAAATTCAACAGGGATAAGTGCAAAGTACTGCACCTCAGAAAAAGAAACCAATTGCACAGTTACAAGATGGGGGATACCTGGCTCAGCAAAACAACGAGTGAGAATGATCTTGGAATTATCCTAGATTACAAGCTAAATATGAGCCAAGAGTGTGATGTGGCTACAAAAAAAGGCAAATGCTATTTTAGGCTGCAGTAATAGAAACACAGTTTCCAAATCCTGCAAGGTGCTAGTCCCCCTCTATTCAGCACTGGTTAGGCCTCACCTTAAGTATTGTATCCAGTTCTGGACACCACACTTCAAGAAGGTCGCTAACAAATTGGAACAAGTTCAGAGGAGGGTGACAAGGATGATCAAGGGGTGGGAAACCAAGCCTTATGAAGAAAGGCTGAAAGAATTGGACATGTTTAGCCTTGAGAAAAGAAGACTGAGGGGTGATATGATTGCACTTTTCAAATATTTGAAAGGATGTCACACAGAGGAGGGGCAAGATCTGTTCTCGATCATCCCAGAGAGCAGGACACGCAACCATGGGCTTAAGTTAAAGGAAGCCAGATTTTGGTTGAATATCAGGAAAAACTTCCTAACTGCTAGAGCAGTACAAGAGTGGAACCAGTCACCTCGGTGATCACACAGTGTAATTGCTGGAGTGAACTAAAATGTCCCCAGAATGTCCCTTCTTGTACTTTTCAGAGCCCCTGTCAGGGGTTTCTACATTTTTGGTGCAGGTAGGATTGCTTTGTTTTGCTCCATTTCCAGCACATGTGATCACCGAGAACGGATAAAAATGAACATTCCGAATATCAAGGCTCCTTCCATTTTGAATTTTTGTTATTGTTGAGTGGATTAATAAGTGGGCCATTTCAGGATATTGGCAAATTAAACAATTCCGCTACTCCTCAGCAGAGGGGCAAAGAAAGTGAAATTTGGGCTGCAGCCAAATCCGGGCAGCTTCTCAACTGGTTCTTTTAAGACACAGCAAAGAATTTGTTTATATTTTTTGTAAATGATGTGCAGTACATCAGTAATGGTATACTAAAGTATACTGAAAAAAATTCACTTCCCTGGTCCCTCTGCTAAGGAGCAGAGAAAGTGTTCAGTTTGCCAATATCCTCAAGTGGCTTACTTAAGAAGCTAATTCCAAGTGTAAATGGATGACAATCTTTTGACACTGAAGTATGGCTCTTCATAGTGAGAAATTGGCATATCACTTCCGACTCAGCTAAATATAAAATCATAAGATCGTTGGGTATATACTTCTAGAGTTATGGATCATGAGAACACAAAGATAATACTATGTCCTATTACAGCAAGTCCATAGATCATTGATTTGAAACTCCCATGGAGATCAAAGAGTTTGGTTGACAAAGGTCATTTTGTGCCAGAAATGGGATCAGGGAATTCCAATGAAATGGGGGGAGGAGAGCGTAGCACTTTTTAAGGGTCTTTCTGAGCTTGCTGCCCTCTAGACATGTTAGGCTGTAGTACCTACCATCCACTTTGACAAAGGATGAGGAGAAACATAGTCCAGCACTCCTGGAGAATGCAGGATGTGTAAAGATACATTAAGGGTTCAAATGTGGACAAATAAATCTGAAAACAAGGAGGGTGTTCCATCCTAAACGACAAAGCAGGAAGCTTTCCAGTTTAGAGTAGAACAGTTTCCTTAGTACTTCTGATTTCTCCACAGTAGAGTTTGCTGTTCTTGAGACTTTCCAAGCAACCACATCTCCAAAATACCTGATGGCCTTGTTCCTAATTATCTTATCCAGTGACACTAATTTGTAAGAGGATGACTCACAATAAGTTCCGGTTACTCAGATATGATGTAAGGACTCAGTTGATACACGAGGAGCAGGTATTCACCTTGTTGAAACACACACCTCACGTGTGTTGAAACACACACCTTACACAGTGCCTCATGACATTGACATATGTGCTAGGAGCTGTATTGGCAATCCCCAAAATTGCTGTTGGCTTGTCCTCTGAAAGAGATGATACCCTTTGTTTTTTGAGCAAGGGAAGGGAACCTTGAGCTCTCACAATCCCCTCAGCTTGCCAGGTAGGGCTGAGGAAAATTATAGGCTAAAGTATCTGGAGAGCCAAAGTCATTTTGCCACTCCTGTTCTTGAGAACAGGGAGCTTCTTTGAACATTTGGTTGCAAAGCAGAAAAATCATCTCACGGAGATGCTTGAGAGAAAGTTAGTAATCGCTTTTTGAATATTGTCATTAATTTTTGTTCAGGATACTTTTCCACCTCTTCTCTGAACAGCTACCTGGCTAACTGGAGGGAAAGAAGACTGAAACATGACAGATAGTGAAGTGGTTTAAATCCTACTCTCAATTTCTGCTAAGGGCAGACCTTGGAAAAGTTACTGTTTTGGACTACTGTAACTCCCAGAATTCTGGGGAAATAGTGCTGGTGAGTGATTCTGGAAGCTACAGCCCAAAAGGTAACATTTCCGACTTATGGCTATGAAATCTCTCTCTGTGTGTGAAGGATTCTTTGTTATTAACAGTTTCACTTGTTTTGTCTTTTGCTAATTAAAAAATCACATTTCTTTATGCTTCTTTTATGATCAATTCACATTCCTTTTTGACATTTCCCCCTGATGTTTCCACTGCTTGTGGAAGAGGTGTTAGCAGCAAAATAGTTAATGAGCAGCTCCTCCTGATGGCCACCATTCTTTTTCCCCTGAAAGCCCCATAGATTTAAGGGATTGTGGATAAAAATTATTGGTAGTTTTTGAGCAGCACTTGTTTTGTCTTTTGCTAATTATTCCACCAAAAGAAAAAAGAAAAGAAAAAGAAAAAAAAAGAAAAAAAAGAAAAAAGAAAAAGAAAAATAAAAGAAAATGAGGTCTGCTAAGAATGACTTCTAGGAGTTGCCCTTGAGTGCAGTTCTGTTGCTGATGTCAAAATCTCTACAGATTCTCCCTTTTCTCACAGTTGAATGGACACAAATTGGATTCCTGAATGTGGCTTCTATTTGCTTTCATCTTCCTCTGTCTTGGGACAAATGGAAACTGAACCAAATAAGTGCCATTTTGTTCAGTATTCTGTTTGATTGGAATCCACGTTCCTAATGGAATTGCAGATAAGGATTGGCTCTTTAATGATCTCTGGACTGTATTCTCAAAGGCTTTCATGGCCAGGATCCAGCAAAGTCTAGAACTCAACAAAGTCTGGCTCCCAGCACTGAAAAATATAGCACGGAAAAGGTCAATGAACTCTACCCAGCTACAAGGACCAGTGATCGCTGCACACAAAGGATTAGCTAACAACACCATCAATCACAGTGGCAGATCATCTCCCCCTTATCACAACAATACACCCATAACAAAAACCACCCTGATTACCATAATCACCCAATCTCCTGAAAAGGACAAACTACACCAAAACACAGAG